GGAGAGAAATAGACACTACTCATCAAAACTTAGGAATGATTGGCTTTCAGGTGACATTTATGGAAAATGTAAAAAGTTCACGCTACAGTGATGTCATGAAAGTAGGATATTCAAGTGGAAGGCTGCACTGGTGAGTCCCTCATCTCAAACACTTAATTGAAACAAAAGTGGGGACACCACAACAAAAATTGTCAATGTCTCAATAACTTTGCAGTGCACACCTTTACCAACAGCTTGTCAGCCTGATTGAGGTGTAATGTCTTTAAGTGCCGCCTTAATTTATTTGGGTTCAAGCTCTCGGCGGCCAGCATTTTTCGACACAGTTGACACACCAGTCTTTGCTCGTTGTCGCCCACTATCGTCACAGTGAAGCCAAGTGCTACATACGCTTCGTCATATTTCCTTGTCTTAGCTTTCGGGGGACTTTCTGTTCATCTCTCTCACGTTTTCTTTTCATCTTGTCTCTTGAGGGTTTGTTTATTGCACTTCATATCACCTACCCATGCAAAAAAACTAAACAAAAAAAAACAATGCGACACATAGCACTAATACCCCCTGTGCACTCTCTGACAATGAGGGCGCCACTGCCACCTGCTGTTGTGGATGTGCAATTACACTATTGTATACTATTCGGTAAAAAAACATGTTCCCAAGAGTCAACATGCGACCCCCTGGCATCGCATTGCGCCCTCCCTGGGGAGACGTGCGCCCCACTATTTGAGAACGACTGCCTCAACAGATTCTTTTGTCCTGGATCCCATTTAAATGATTCAAGACTGTTGTGAAAAGTGGAGAGCAGAGTAAAATTTTATTTTCTTTTCTTCCTTACAGGAACAGAAAAGTAGTGAACTACTCACAATTCAACGAGTCTGACGATGCAGGTAAGGGTTTTTCGCGATTAGTGCGTCTGTGTATGTGTTTCTTGGATTAATTGAACACTCTAAATCAGGGGCACCCAATAAGTCGATCGTAATCGACCGGTAGCTCGCGGACTGGTCCCAAGTCGATCGCGAGGGGTGTGTGTGTGTGTGTGTGTGCGTGCGCGCGCGCGCGCATGTTATTATTCTGATATATTTTTGTTTTACTGCACACTTAGCATCCTATCAGTCTCACTTTCACAAAAACTACCATAATTTCCGGACTGCAGATCGCACCTGATTATAAGACGTACCCACTATATTTTTAAAGGAAAAAAACATTTTGTACACACACAAGCTGCACCTGTCGATAAGCAGCAAGTGCCCACATTGTAACATGAGATATTTACAAAGAAAGACTGTACACAGAATGCATTTTCAAAGTTTTAATAACATCCCTGAACTTTTCAAATTGTGCCTGTAACGCAGCATCACCAGGGCAGTAAAACAACAAAAACAGGGCTGGTTAAAAAGAAAACACAGAACTCACTGTTCACCGTCGAGTAATGCTTTTTTTTTTTCGATGAAAAAATCCTCACTTGCTGTAACACTCGGTCAACCATTCTTTCATTAGGCTTTCTACCATCTACGATTTCGTGTCCACTTTCACGATAATGTCTTTCCGGAGTTTTTTGGGGGGGGGGCATAGTAATCCTTGGTGGATGCAGTGCAGCCCAAAACACAGGTCAAATGCGCCCTCTCATGACCGGTTGTTTTCAGCGTGACAGATGATAGCGTCTTCCTCGACACATATATATATAAACTTGTCTCACTCTTACCTTTTATGCTTGAGTGCTCATTCGAAAAATCTTTATATAGGCCACTTCACTTATATAGGCCGGAAAAAAAACACAACAATTTCTGAAGGTTAAAATAATCTCCATATTTTTATGAGCATGATAAATGCATTTGCACAACAAAATTACGCTGAAACACATGAGGCCAGACAAAGAGAGATCTTGATGCGCATTTGCGTAATTACGAGGAGAAATACTGCAGCCCACTAGGCTTTAAATAGAATAATGAAAATCATATAAATGGGAAAAGATATATGAAATTATTTCTATAGTCAGCCGCTTAAACATGATCATCGGTGGCAGCTTTAGGGCCGATGCTGCGCAGCTCAAAACACAGGTAAAATGTGTTCTCTCGTGGCCGCTTGTTTTCAGTATAACAGAGGAGTCACCGTTTTTATTTCCAGTCCGAGTGAGGGGCAAATCAAATGTACATGGGTCTTTTTGGTTGTCTTTTTACACTGGCTCAGTTCGAAGCCTCCACCTTCGCACCATCGACTCGTCTATGCCAAGTTTACGGGCAGCAGCTCGATTTCCTTCTTGAACTGCCAGAGTGATCGCTTTTAGTTTAAAAGCTGCATCATATGCTTTTCGTCTGGTATTCTCCATGTTGATCAGGGTTAGAAGAAAGACTGAAATAATGAAGTTGTGATTACCGGTAATCATACAATTTCACTGGACCCATGTGTACTACTCATTCATTTTATTTGTCGACTGTTGCTCGGTAACACATTTTTCCCCGCTACTGCGAGAAGAGCGGAAGTTGTGATTAGTCATACAATCTCATTGGACCTCAGTGAACTACTCATTCATTTTATTTGTCCATGTTTTTCCCGCGATGGAAAAAAAATAATTAAAAAGCCGCTCCATATTAGACGCCCTAGTGTTGAAAGTGTGGAAAAAAAGTAGCGGCTTGTAATCCAGAATTTATGGTATGTTGTTTCTCTGTAGATGAAGAATATGGTGACTCTAAACCCAAGAAGGTTCGTCCTGCACACCGAGAGCTGAAGCACAAGAGCTCAAAGAATTCACAGGATGAAAGGTAAGTACTAATTGGGGCTGGATAAATGTTTTAGTGGAATGCTTTACGACAGGCTTATGCAATATTATATGTCGGTTGACCTCCATCCCACCCTCTACTCTTTTGGCCCTTTCTGAGTTCGGGTGTTCTCATAGTAGTATGGCCACAGGCCACGTTGAATGCGCAATTAACCAGCCCATTTATTGTGTATGTGAGGCAAGGTCAGCGCCAACCGCGTACATTAAACCAGTCCGTGGGGCAAAAAAGGTTGAGGACCATTGCTTTAGCTCACTCCACTGAATCACTGTGATGATGTCCTCCTTTGCTACCTCAGGAGCATTAAAACCTGCTGCGATACATGGGGCCATGAATTATGCTGTCTACCAGAAAAATTAAGGTTTTGGAGCGGCCAAGTCAAACTCCTGATTTGAATCCAATTGAGATGCTGTGGTGTGACCTTAAACGGGCAGTTCATGCTAGAAAACCCTCCAATATGGTGGAGTTGAAGCAATTCAGAAAAGAACAGTGGGCCAAAATTACTCCACAGTGATGTGAAAGACTCATCGCCAAATTACCACTAACGCTTGATTTCAGTTATTCCTGCCAAGGGTGGCACAACCTATTTACAGTATTAGGTTCAGGGGACAATTACTTTTTCGCATCGGGACAGCTAGATTCGGATTTTTTTGTGTGTTTGAATAAATGAAATAGGTATTTAGAAACTGGATTTTGTATTTCATTGGGTTGTGTCAGTGTGATATTAAAATTGGTTTGATGAACTGAAATCTTTGTGTGATAAATTTGCAAAGAACAAATCCGATTGGGGCAAATACTTTTTCACGGCACTTTATATACACCTACTGGGGGCGTGTCTTTAGCGTAATCTTTCACGCCTACCCTTACCCTTCAACAACCGCATGCTGTCCTCAGTCACGTCTGCCTTTCCTCTTTATAAGCAGCGTGTCGGCAGGTGAAGCGTTCGTCGAAGTCACCGATTTTGGAACTCGGTGTGTACATAAGGCATTATGCGGCCCCCTGTCTATTTCGGAGAAAATTTAAGGCGTTAGTGCACCTGAGGGTCATGAAAATACGGTGATCGCTCGCTCAAATGCGGTCCACTTTCCGTGGCTTCGCTGTTTCACGGATTTTTTTAGTGCAGTTTTTTTAATGCTTTTAAACAGTGAATTGCGTTCTGCATCCTGATTGGCTAAGGCACTGACCACCGTGAACAGTCTCCGCACCTCGTCTCTGTACAGCTTGCCAAATTTACCTTTGCAAATTTTTGGTCTTTGGTTTCATTGTATCAGTGGCTGATGCTGGTCTGTCAGGGAGGGGAAGCTCAATTTCGGCCTACACCATAAAATGTGTCGGTTTATTTATACGTGATTTCTACTCCCCGTTCCTTTTCAAAAAAATGAAAAGGATGCCTTCACCATAAGATCGGTGATTGGCTCATTTCGCTGTCAATCAAAAAGAGATGTAGCCTCAGACAGATCATCCAATCATCATGCAGAAAAGCTGATAAACGCCCACTGTCCATAGACTCCCAGAGACCCTGAGCGTCCAATGGGTGGGACAAAACCCGCATTTATCCATTGACTTGTCTCGTTTCAATGCATTGGGACAACCTACCCTGAACTCTGTAGACGCCCAGCGTCCGCGCGGTCGACGCTCAGCGTCCACACAGTATAAAGCACAGTGAAGCTGTGGGAATGAATGAGAAGAGAGTTGCGTCGTAACCAGTAATAAGAAGCTGATTCGGAACAAAAGTTGAGCGCGTTGTAGCGCATATTTAGTCAATAACATTTGTACACACAACCACATAATTGTACGTACACACATGTATTTGATCAGTTAGTTTTTTACATTGTAGGGGAAGCTGAGCTTCCCTTGCAGTCTTAGAGCAATCGCCTCTGCATTGTATACATAGTTCAGTATTGTATAATAACTGTAAAAAATAAAGCTGCCTATCAAGTACCAAGTACAACTTTATTGTCAATTATGAAATTTCGTCCCTCTCACATTTTTTTGCTTTTTTTTTTTATAAATCCTACTTCACGGATTTCACTTATCACTGGTTCTTTTTGGAACGTAACCCCCGCGATAAACGAGCCGATTACTGTATTTTGGGGCCGATAAATCCGTTATTTTCACATGAGCGATATATTTACAATGATTTTGCTCATTTCCAGTGGGTGGTTTTAAAGTCATGAGTTTTTCATTGATTTTGAATTGAAAGTACAAGCTAATGTCTAATTTCTGGTTTCATTAAAAAAAGAAAAAAAAATTCAATTGAGTTTCTTTATGAAAAATGGACCATCCTTGCCGGATGATCCCTATAAGTTGCAAAACATTTTTCCGCCATAATCACCCAGCCCTACCAAGCACATAATGTTTAAAAGGGCATGTAATGTTTCATCTTTGTGACCTATGAAATTTCAGAAAATGAAGAAAACCCATCTTTTTGCCCGAATCCCAGTTCAGTTGAACAACATGTGATCGGGCCCGATTTTTGATCATGTGATCAGATCCAGGCATCCCGTGTGCATGCGTGCATCTGTCTGTCTCTCTCTCTCTCTATGGACGCATGCATTATATTGTTTTGTATTACACAAACCATATTGATACATTTTTGTCACTTTGAGATATTTTCCCCTTTTACTTCACAGTTCAAAATGGTCTTTCATGGGAACCTTTTTGCAAAGCTCAATCGTTTGACCCAAATCAATGCTTTAATTGTTAAATAAGGATCAATGATAATTTACCTCCAATGCAGCAACTTGGCAGAGTAATTCAAGTGAAAGTTTTATCATTTAAAAATGCTTAATTACCAAGTTGTTGATTTTAATCCACACATCTTGATCCCCCCACCCCCCACCCTTCATTCTTGGTTTCAGCGAGGACTCTGAGGACAAACTCTCCAAATCGAAAAATGATTCTGCTGGTAAGTCCAGCTAAGCTTTGCTTAGGTATTTGCAAAGCAGTAACAAACTGTCACAGGGAGAGCTGCCTATGGACTTCAATGTTCTTACAGATGACCTTGGTAGTGACGACGAAGAGAATGACTTTGGCGAGGAAGAGGAAGATGGAGGAAGTGACTATGAAGAAAAAAAAATCAAAAGAGGAAAGAAACCCAAGATAGAGAAGCCCAGCAGAAGGACACCGAAAAGAAAACGGGCCACAGGTAACATATTGTACATTTCCCCAGTGTGGGACAAATAAAGGATATCTTATCTTATCTTATCTTATATATGAATAGGATTGAATTAAGTTAAAAGCTTTACTTTTGTGTGTCAACTGTATGTGACTGAATGTTCTGACAAGCATTCATATTTACGAGAATCACTTTCCGTTACCCTAACTTCAAAACAAACAGACAAGATGGCGCCAACGCAAAGAGACGCCTTGGTGATGCACGTTGTAGGACTTTTTGTCATTTTCGTTCGTTTTTAACACACACGAGGCAAGACTGACTAATAAGGGAGTCTCCTCTGCCTTTTTTCTCCAACTTTCACAAATCCACAGTTTGTTTTCTGAGATAATAGCCGGTGGAGCGGTTGTACTTTGCAGACCATAGAGGCGACACCAGAGGAGGAAGGCCAAGATAGTCAGCGTGCTAGTTAAGTTCCAATAGGGTTTGCAATCTCCATTCGCCACATCACTGATGATGAGTTGAAATGGAGTGTGGCTTGATAAATATTTCCCATATTCCCCAATCTGGCCAAGGACTAATTTGTCTAAAATTTCCCCGGCATAATCTACGTCGAAAGCCATGGCTACGCAGTACAAACATCCATATGCAAATAATCCCACAATCTTCTTTGTGCCCAGTTATTCATATGATTGCTTAGAGCAGGGGTCCCCAACCGCCGGTCCGCGGACCGGTACCGGTCCGCAGGGCATTTGGTTCCGGGCCGCACAGAAAGAACTTGCCTTATTTCTGTTTTATTTATTTCGGAACACGAAAGATGTTTTATTTTGAAAAATTACCGGATTCTCTTTTACATCCGTCTGTGTCACGCTTGACTCACGTCAAGCCACACTTCTTGGTCACGTGACCAATGACGCTTAAAAACAAAACACTAAAGCCCGCAAAATGAGTAAAAATGCTGCTTGGAGATCACAAATGACAGCGGCCTTAAAAGTACGTTCGAAACAACTGGATCAAAGTTATGGCTGAATACTCTGAGATCGCCACAATAGCACTCTTGCTATTTCCGACATCCTACCTGTGTGAAGTGGGGAGTTTCTGCAGCAACGGCGACTAAAACAAAATTACGAAGTAGACTGGACATAAACCACACACTTGAGGTGCATTGTCTCCTATTACCCCGAGATGGGACTGTCTGATTGCAGAAAATCAAGCTCGGGGCTGTGGTGAGTCGTCATTTTCATGCACTTTGAATTTGCGTTGTATCGTATTTTGAAGGCATTAAACATTAGCAGAGCGATAAGAGTGTTGCGACCAGATTAGACGCTCCTTGTGTTTATTATTATATTTCGAAAACACCACAGTTTTCATGCAGCTCATACCATATTATTTTGTTGTATTAATTCGCCACACCTTAAATGCCGGTCCCTGAAAATATTGTCTGACTTTAACCGGTCCGTGGGGCAAAAAAGGTTGGGGACCCCTGGCTTAGAGTATGAACACATGACTTGTCAAAGTCTAAAAAAAGAAAACAACAACCCAGCTTGTCAATCTGACGCAAGCTTTTATTTTGACATTGACCCTCATGGCGCTTGATATAGTAACCTACGGACCGCCACCTCAGTCCTGCTGTGTTGTGGCTCCAGTGGGCCGTCAAAATGTCTCAGCGCGAAAGCAGTTGGCAGTGCAAAAAACATTGGCCACATCGCTGCCCCTGAGAACTCTGCTAAATTAGCTAGTTGATCACAGGGTCCCATACTGGAAGTCAAACGTGGGCAATTAATTTGTCAAAGGCCATGCAAGAAACTGAGATGGTGGTCAAGAAACAGAAATGGTGATGGATAGCCACACCAACATGCTACTGTACCTCAATTGTGTTAAATATGAGTTTAATCGTGGGTATTTGTGTGGTCTATGTTGTAATTAGGAAACAAAACTCAAAAAGAAGTTCAATCAGTTACATTAAAATAACATTTACCGCGAAGGTTTGCGAGTGTTAGCGAATTAATTTTTCTTTTGGGGGGGGGTCAGGTTCTTTAAAAATTGCAAAGATGTTCACGAACAAATTATCTTGTTTCCATCAAATTTTGAACGTGTTGAAAATGTGTGTGTTTGTGTGTGTGTGTGTGTGTGTGTGTGTGTGTGTGTGTGTGTGTGTGTGTGTGTGTGTGTAATGTATATAGAGG